TTCTTACCCCTTCTTCATCTGCCGGCCCTTAGCTCCTGCCTGTGTGCCCTTGGCAACAGGTTTCTGATCTCCTTCAAGGAAATCCAGCTTATCAGAGAAGCCTGTGGGTGAAAAAGTACTTTGGTCAGCACCATTATTTGTAAAGAAGCAAAGTTTAAACCTTAAAGAATGAGGCTGGTACTTACTACAATGATTTTAAGAGACACAGCTTGCTACCCACACCATTCCCAAAATTTTGGTCCAACAGTTAAAGATCCATGGAGACGTCTTTAAAGCTCTGTGTTAAAATTAACAGTGGTTCCCAGTACCCCCGTTCCTTGACATCCTTGGCAGAGACATACTGACCTTTCTGATATTTCTTAATGGCACTCATCATATGTGCCTTCTCCTGCTGCCTCTTTTGAAGAACCTCTGTCTGTACCTGTGATATGGAGACACAAACACTCAGACCCCTTCCAAACCTTTACTACAAATATCCATTCTTTTCATAATGACATTAACACAATGTGAAAATAACTGTTACATTCTAAGTATATTCTTAGTTCATCTTCTCAATTATTCAGTGAAGCTGAAATTACTATCCCCAGGGCCGGCATTGTGGCATAGTGGGTTAAGCCACCACCTGCTGCACCAGCATCCCATATGGGCACCAGTTCACATCCTGGCTGCTCTACTTCTGATCCAGCTCCCTGCTAATGCACCTGGGAAAGCAGAGGAAGATGGCTCAAGTGCTTGGATTTCTGTACCCACATGGGAGACCCAGAAGAAGCTCCTAGCTCCTGGCTTCCACCTGACCCAGTTCTGGCCGTGTGGCAATTTGGAGAGTGAACCAATGGATGGAAGACATCTCTCTTTCTCTCTCTCTGTAATTCTATCAAAATAAATAAAATAAATTTTTATTCATTTATTTATTTGACAGATAAGAGTTAGACAGTGAAAGGGAGAGACAGAGAGAAAGGTCTTCCTTCCGTTGGTTCACCCCTCAAATGGCCACTATGGCTGGAGCTATGCCGATCCGAAGCCAGGAGCCAGGTGCTTCCTCCTGGTCTCCCATGCGGGTGCAGCAACCCAAGCACTTGGGCCATCCTCCACTGCCCTCCTGAGCCACAGCAGAGAGCTGGACTGGAAGAGGAGTAACCGGGACTAGAACCCAGCGCCCATATGGGATGCCAGCACCGCAGGTGGAGGACTAACCAAGTGAGCCACAGCACCAGCCCCTAAAATAGATCTTTAAAAAAAAAAGTATCCCCTACACTGAAGCACAGAGAACTTAAGTAACTTGCCCCAGTTACAAAGTGAAGAAGTTCAGATTCCAGATTCATACCCAGCTTGCACTCTTACCTCATTATGCAACCCTGCCTACAAAACTATCAAACCATGTCTAGATCTATGTCCAATTTTTCCCATCAATTATGTTACTAAGCATAACAATATCAAAATAAAAGAAATAACCTCCCCAGGAAAAACAACAAAGCTTTGAGGACAGAAGAAGACACCGTGAACTTCCAGGCAGGCTCGCGTCCCTGCTGGCATGCTGTACAGAATACTTCTCTGCGGGGCAGAGGCCTGTTCAGGGAACTGGAGGTTGCTCAGCAGCATCCTGGCCTCCACCCAGTAGAACCCCGTAGCAGTCTCCCCTCCCCAGTATGACAACCAAAAATGTCTCCAGTGACAAATGTTCCCTGAGGCACTAAATCACCCCAAGTTGAGAACCTCTGCCCTAAAGGTTTCCCCAAATTAAAAACAGCTGGGGCTGGAGTTATGGCACAGCATCCTATACGGGCACCGGTTCATGTCCCAGCTGCTCCACTTTCGATCCAGCTCCTGGCTAATAGCCTAGGAAAAGCTGCAGAAGATGGCTCAAAACTCAGGTGGAGCTCCAGGCTCCTGGGTTCAGCCTGGCCCAGCCCCAGCCTCTGTGGCCATTTGGGGAGTGAACCAGCAGATGGGAAATCTTTCTTTCTTTCTTTCTTTCTTTCTTTCTTTCTTTCTTTCTTTCTTTCTCTCTCTCTCTCTCTCTTTCTCTCTTTCTCTCTTTCTCTCTTTCTCTCTCTCTTTCTCTTTCTCTCTTTCTCTCTCTCTCTCTCTCTCTCTCTGTAACTCTCTCTGTAACTCTCTCTCTCTCTCTCTCTCTCTGTAACTCTCTGTAACTCTGAATTCCAGATAAAGAAATCTTAAAAAAGATTTTCTTTGCTTTGACAAATTACAATGTGTTAAACTGACTGCTGGGATCTTTGCAATGATCTCAGCCTTTCACCTTCAGATCAGAGAAACAACAAACCTTTTACAGGGGACAAGATGCTAGTCTACTCTGTGCTGAAAACTATCAGGGAAGTGACCCCAATTGTGGAAACGTCCACGCCTCATCACAGTGTTCATGTCCAAAACACCAACAAAGTTCCAAGATTCATGCTGATCTTCCTCATGCTCATTTCTTCCTGCAATCCTCACTTAACTCCTGTGTTCTTTAGGAGCCCATAAAATAAAAAAGGAAAACCAAGCACGCTCTGATGGTGTGCTTGATCTGGTTTTATGTTAGAACTCAGGATGACATTAGAATGTCATTCACACAAATGCTATTTTTTGTCTCTCAGACTGGGTAACAGTATTATTCCTTCAAGAACTTGACAATCGTCTAGGCCTATCAATCACAAAGATACAGATCAGCATCACCTGGTAAGTTTTTGGGGGAATGAGAGAAACATACACACAAATTCCCAGAGTCTGAAGCCCAGAAACAAAATTCCCCCGGGGCGTTTTGCTGTGAGGTCAGGTTGGACACCACTGATCTGACCCCCAACTCTTTCCTCCATAGATGTGGAAGCTTTGGCCCAGAGGGTGAAGGAGAGGTTCATGTGCTGTCACAGAGTCCTGGGCCTGCCCTGGGGCTGAGGTAAGACTGTGCTCACAAATACGAGCACACACACGCCACCATGACACAGGAAGCCCATGATCAAGCATGCAGGGCATGGAACTCGATCAGACCACAGCCATCGGACCTGACAAACACCCCGCCTCGCCCTGTCCCCATGTATCTCTCACCTTCTTCCCGTATTTCCGAAGCGCTCGCAGCTGCTTGGCCTTCTCAGACTTCTCCATGGCAGCCTGTTTAGTCTGCAGCTTCAGTCGAATCTAAAACAAAAAACGTTGTCAGTTTATGTGTGTGAAAGTGGGGTGACCACTAAGGAAGCCGAGCAACAGGAAACACGTTCCCAGTTCTGCCAACTGCAGAACATGTAAATCACCTATTCCAACGGAGCGCTTTCTGGACAAGCACTTAGTGTGCAAGGTTCCAAAGAGTGTCAGCGGTGGAACTCCAGCCTGGAAGTTACCTTCTCGTCAATGCCATTTACTCCAGCACACAGTCTACTTGCAGCCCAAGAAAGAACACCAGCATTCTCTACCGTCTGCAGACTGAGGGTAAACAGCAAGCAGCCTCCGTGCCCTTCTCTAACACCACCTACAGGATAAAGTCTCCAGCAGACAAAGAAGGTGCCTGGCCTCTTCCATCAACCGCACACATTCCAGTTAGGGGTAGGTACCCGTCCATATGAATGTACAGATGTGTCTGGCTTACAAGAGCTCCTAAAATCCAGCATGAAGCCCAAAGAACTATTTCAGTTTACCTTGGATTAGATGTTAGCAATTCTCTCCCTCCCAAAGTTAAGTGAGAACCAAGTTCTACCAAACTTAAGTTTCACAGAAGAGAAAACAGGCCCAGAGAAAAGTCATCATCTGTGACAGCACTCCTCACTGGTAATGGCAAGACAAGAGATGTGCTGTCTTCTATACACAGCACGTCATGGCCATTCCAGGAAATGCAAAAGGCCCTCTTTACCTTGGGGACCACACTTCTTACAGTCCTTTTCCCAAATGCCAGTCTTGCATTTATCTAATTGGTGGTGACTGGCATGACTGGAAGTAAACAATCTGTAGAAGAGATAAAGCCTTGGCTTTCCAGAGACAAACTTCCCTGTCTACCTTTTGCATCTGCTGATCAGACTTGGCCATTTCGGCAAAGTAGTCGGTGGGCCTCTTGGTAGGGACTTTGAGCTGGTGGAGGCGGGGTAACACGGCGAGCACTGCAGCCTGGGCCTGGCGGTAGCTGAGATGGAAGACAAAGTGAGACAGGGGCGGAGGGGCCTGCCATTCCCTCTCCCTGCCTCTGCGTCTGACTCCCTTCCCCTCTCCCTGAGGCTCCAGCACAAGGCCCCCCGCCCCTCCCCCACTTGAAAACAAACATACAAACTCATCTCCCGCTGGAAGTCGTCTTCCGGATTCAGGGCTCCTTGGTCCTTGCTCGGAGGCGCTGGCTGCGGTCCGGGGGCTTCCGGCACCGGACCCAGGGTCACGTCGAGCCTCTCCACCCACTCCAGGTCCCGCTTGAATTCGGCCAAACACTGTTTCAGGCCATTCTAGGAAATTCAGCCACTGAAGTCGTCAGGAGGGAAGCCTGAAGTCGTCCCTCCCCAGGCCGGCGGACAGGGCGCTGAGCTCCGACACCCCGGCAGGCGCGACTCGGCCCCACACACAGCGCCAGTGCCCCCGGGCCGGCTCCGGACTCACCACGTTGTTGACGGCCTTCTTCGGCCCCTCCAGCACGACATTGAGGCCTGGCTTCAGGAGCCCCTGGGAAAACGCATCCTGCAACTGCAGGACACAGCCGCGGTCAGCACCAGCCGGGCAAGGCGCCGGCTCCGGCTCCCAGCCCCGCGAGCTCGGCCGACACTTACCTCCCGGTCCGTGACCAGGGACTCGTCAGAATCCGAGTCCGACCCCGAGAGCGGGGGGGTGTCCATCCCGCAGCACGCACGCCTAAGGCGGGCCGAAGAAGCGGGATGTTCGAGGCCCCCGCGGCTGGCCGAGGGCCACGCGCGTCCCTGCCGCTGCCGCTGAGGGCGTCACCCGCTCCTCTCACACCGCAGCTCCACGTGGGCTCGAAGGGCCGGAGCGCCCACAACTCTCGGCTCGGGCTTTTTTTTTTTTTTTTTTTTCTTTGATCGGCACTTCCTGTTCCGGTCGCTGGCTCGTACTTCCGGTACGTCGTTGCTATAGGAACGGCTCCGCGTTCGGAAGGGCCTGAGTTGCGTGCGATCAGTCGGGGGTGAGACTTCTGGAGAGGCACGTGGTCTGGTGACCCAGAGATAAGCGCCAGGTGGGAGGGGGTACCTGGATCGTGGGGAGAAGTTGGAAAACGCGAGGGAGCGAAGGAAACGGGAAGAGGAGCGGGGTGGCGGGGAAGCGCGAGGGGAGAGCAGGGTCCGGGGGCGGGTGGGGCGTGTCCGGGGCGGGCGGGGGCGGGTCCGGGGCGGGGCGTTCCCCGTCTCACCTGTGCGCTCGGTCCCCGCAGCGCTCTGACCCGGGACCATGTCCTCCGTGGTAGCCCAGTCGCTGCATGTGTTTGGACTTCGAGCTCACGTAGCCAACAATATCTTCTTCTTCGACGAGCAGACCGTTATGTTTCCTTCAGGAAATCACTGTGTGAAGTACAATGTGGATCAGAAATGGCAAAAATTCATTCCAGGTAAAAACCCTTTCCATCCAGACCCACGCGTTAAAAGTAAGTGCCACGTGTCGTCCGAGAGCCCCAGCACGATGCCCGGAAGGACCTTTTTTGGCCAACTTGAATGTGCATACTGTTTTATGAATGTGGCGGGCATGAATGTTGGCTTGCATTCCCAGTTAAAATCGCACATAAAATAGTGTTCCTTTAAAAGTACTTTTTTCACTGTAATTTCATTAAAAGAATTACTTTGATGAATCTGTTCGTGCATTTTCAGTATCATTTTTACCATGACCAGAGCACTCTCTGAGCTCTCTAGCCCAGTTTCCCAGAGTATACCACCTTCTGTACAGCACCCTTTGAATCCATGTGTGTTTAAAATACTGGAAATCTCATCCTGTTTGTGTAATGTTACAGCATTTGATTTTGTTTGCATTGTCCCTGCGGGTGGTAGTCATGATTTCTTTAATCATTTTTCCCTACTCTGTTATCTTCAGCACTTGGTACTGTGTCATACATACACAAAAAAGAACAGCTACATATATATATTTATATATATATATATAATATATATAAACAATGACAGTAAAACGGAGATGTATGAACTCAGGATGGGAAGCAGAACATTGCCAGTTCCAGTTCTCCCCAATTCCTTCTCTACCCGCCCCCCCACACAGGCACATCCCATCTTGGATTTTGTAATAATTCCATTTTTTCAATATAGTTTTACCAAATATATGTAACCTTATACAAGATATATTTTTGTTTTTGCCATTTTCCAGTTTTATATAAATGAAATCATATTCTGTGACTTGCTACTTTCATTCAGTGCTATGCTTTTGAGATTTGTGTATCTTTTTTTTTAAGAGTTATTTATTTGAAAGACAGAGTTACAAGAGAGAGGAAGAGACACAGAGAGAGTTAGAGACAGAGAGAGAGAGATCTTCCATCTGCAAGTTCACTCCTCAAATGGTGGCATTGGCCAGAGCTGGGCCAAGCAGAAACCAGGAACCAGGAGTTTCTTGCAGGCCTCCCACGTGGGTGCCGGAGCCCAGACACTCGGGCTGTCCTCTGCTGCAGGTGGCACAATGCCAGCCCTGGGATTTGTGCATCTTGATATATTTAACTGAGTTCATTTTACTTTCATATAATGCTCCATCATATGAGAATAATGCCTTAAATATATTCATCATCCATTCTAATACTGGAAGACTTTTGTCAAATCATTTTTGTCATCACGAACCATACATTCATTTATACTCATCCCTGTGTGCTCATCCCCATGTGCAGAGTCCCTCCAGGAATACAGCAGTGGGATAGGACCACCCTGTACCCTGCCAGAAGGACGTAAGAGTCTTCATTCTGGCACAACTCCACCAGCCCCTGCTGTCATCCAGTATCCTAATTTTTTGCTGATCTAGTGGTTGAGAAAAGATACAGTATTTTTTAAAGAGTTATAGAGAGAGGCAGAGAGAGAAAGAGAGAGAGAGAGGTCTTCCATCCACTGGTTCACTCCCCAAATGGCTGCAGCAGCCGGAGCTGTGCCGATCCGAAGTAAGGAGCCAGGAGATTCTTCCAGGTCTCCAGCACAGGTGCAGGGGCCCAGGCACTAGGGCCATCTTCCACTGCTTTCCCAGGCCACAGTGAAGAGCTGGATTGGAAGAGAAGCAGCCGGGACTAGAACCGGCGCCCATATGGGATTCCAGCGCCATAGCGCCAGCTCCAAGATACAATATTTTTAGATTGCATTTCTGTATACTAATGAGAATATCTTTTCACATGTTTATGGGTTCCTCCTATTTAGTTCTATGGTAACAACAAGTGTTGGTTTTCTATATTGGGGGGTGTTTGGTAATTTTCTTATTGATTCATGGGGTACACTGTAAATATTCTATGTACTAATCATTTGTCAGATATATGAGTTGCAAATAATTTCCCCTAGTTTGGGACTTGATTTGCTTTATGTTTTATTTTTTAATTTAAGACTTTAAAAAATTGTTTTATTAATGTATTCTCCATATGACATCTTTGATGGACAGAATATTTTACTTTTGTTAAGGTCAGATGTATCAGACATCATCTAGTATTCTGTTAGAATAAACTATATTGAATACAGTTGGATTTTATTGATTTTTACATCCAGCACATCTGCTGTTATTCTGATGATTTTATCTAAAGATTATTTGAAATTTTCCATTTAGACTGCCATATTCTATACAAATAATGATAGTCTTGTTTCTTTTTCTTGTGTTGTTTTACTGATAAATACCTTCAGGGAAAGGAAAGTGGACATCCCTCCTTGTTGTATTTCTGGTTTTCAAGATAATTCTTTTAGCTTTCCCTTATAAAGGATGTTCTCAGTAGACGTTTGTCAATGTACTTTATCAGGATAAGGAAGTTGCTTTCTCTTTTTGACTTGCTATGCTCCCCCAACTCAAAAAAAATAAAAATACTAAGTTTTATTATGTCCATTTTCTGCACTTTGCATAAAACCATATTACTTTCTAGAATTAAATCAGTCATCCTTTTATGCAAACATTTCTCTATATTTGCTCTCATTTTGACCAAACCCTTTGTCAAATCAAATACTCCAGCTGGGGTCATTTTTTTTCTGCATTTAGTAATAATGTGTTAATGGTAGACTCTCTCTTGTTGCTTGTTTGAAAATACCTTTATTTCATCCTCATTTTAAAAAGATAGTTTGGCCAACACTGTTCATCATCACATTTTAGGTCATATTCCATTAATTTTTGCCTTCTATTTTGTCACTGTCATTAAGAAGCTAGCCATCAGGTTCTTCTTTCTGTAGATGATGTGTCTTTTTTTAACTCTAAAGAATCGTCCCTTTTTGTTATTAGAAACACACACACACACATAAATACGTGTTTTATTTTCAATTTCTATCCTAAGCATTCTTAGAGATTACTGGATCTAAGGATCTAAGGATAGTTATCTCTCAGTTATTCTAGAAAATCCTCAATAATTGTTACTTCAATGTAGTGTCCTTTTTGTTCTGTTGTCTCCTGGAACTCCTCATCATCTCAACTCCATCCTCCATGTTTTTTAATTCTTATTTGGGTTTCCCAATTCTTAGTCTCTCTGTGTTACATTCTAGATCATTCCGTTAGGTTTGTCCTTTAGTTCATGGACCCTCTTTTCAGCTGTGTCTGACCTGCTGCTTAATGTATCCACTGAGACCCTGGTTTTGGTAGTTGTGCTCATGTTCCCGCACTTCCTCCACCCTGAGCTCTGACTTGTATCACTGTGTGTGGATCCTCCCAGTCCATCCACACGTCCTATAAACAGCCACCTTCTGGCCAGCCTTCAGGCCTCAGACCTGTGGATGAAGCTGGTGCTGAGTTTGTCAGCAGACTCTGGACCATTTGGTCAGAGTCCTGGGTTCCTGGGGTGGGTTCTGGAAGAGGCAGTGCCAATTCCAGGTGGCCTCCTCCATTCCATCTTACAGTAAGTTGAGAGCCACAACACAGCACTCTAAAATATGGGGCCCAGGGATGGATCTGTGCTGGCCCAGTGTCAGGGCATTACTGGTGAAGTGCAGAGTATAAAGATCATGAAATCAGGAGATCAGGATTTGATCTAGCTTTCTTTCCATCTTATAACCTTACAGAACCTCATTCTCATTTGTAAATTGAGATGCTGCCTGGCTCACTCAGCTCGAAGAGTCATGATGAGGTTGAGACATGCTCATTTGTTCATTCAACAAAAATTCATTCAAAGCCTCCTGTGAGGGGCTGGAATTGTGGCACAGCAAGTTAAACTACCACCTGCCTCCCATGCATCCCATATGAGCACTGGTTCAAGTCCTGGTTGACCCATTTACAATCTAGCTCCCTGCTAATGCGTCTGGGAAAGCAGCAGAGGATGACCCAAGTGCTTGGACCCCTGCGCCTACTATGGAAGACTCAGATGGAATTCCAGGCTCCTGGCTTTGTCCTGGTCCAGTCCTAGCCATTTGTGGCCATTGGAGAGTGAAACCACTGATGGAAGATCTCTGTCTCTCCCTCCTTCTGTCACTCTGCCTTTCAAATAAAAATAAATAAATAAATAAATAAGAAAATAAGAAAGGGTGGAGGACTGAGAAGGTGAGCAGCGCCTGCCATGCTGCCTCCCACCGGTAAGGACCTCCAACAGCAAAGGGCTGCCTGGCAGAGGCCGCCCCTCTGCCACCTCCGGGGGGCAGCGCTGCGCCAGCCCACAGTCTCGGTGCTGCTTCTCTCTGGCTCCGAGGCACAGCATCCCCAGGCCCAAGGGATCCTGCCTGTCACCCTGGCGCCCACCAGACAGCATTCACGCTTGTGGCGCTCCCCTGGGCATCCCAGTTTGACAGTGACCCAGAGACCTCTTGCGGGGGTGAAAGCGGGACAGGCAGCTGGCCACAGCACAGATGACTGGAGGTCTGTGGCGCCCATCAGAGACCCTGCAGGCTGTGTGCAGTTATAAGCCCCCAGCTCAAAGCACATCCGAATACAATGCAGCTACAGGAAAAGTCTTCATCTCTTCAGGACAGGGATCCATTACTGTGCTCTCCTTATTTGCGCATAGCCAGTCATCAAAAAGGAGCTAGGACAAGCCTAAATTCAATGCAGAGGAAATTGAATTCTAAGAAAAAGGTGGAGGAGAAATTTGAGGCGAAGTTGGATAATTAGAAATGTTTCTCAGCAGGCATGTGACCCAGGGCTTAGGACTCCAGTCCCCATCGGAGAGCCCAGGTTCACGTCCCAGCCCCGGCTCCTGGCTCCAGCTCCCCACAAATGCAGACCCTGCAAGGCGACAGTGACAGCTCAAGTAACTGGGCTTGTGGCACCCTTGGGAGAGATCCATGTTGAGTTCCCAGCGCCAGCCGGTACAGGCATTTCGGGAGTGAACCAGCAGATGGGTCCGTCTTTCCGTGTGTCTTTCTGTCCCCTTTTCTCTCCAATTAAAACAACTTTAAAAAGCGGAAGAAAAAAAAAAAAAAAGAACCTCCTGTGTTCCTGACACAGAAGAGAGACAGACAGACA